AGATGATGAGTAAAATGACAATTTAGTCTCAATGCCTCTATGCTTTCCTACCTGCACATCTTCAAACATACTTATAATGTGTTTAAAAGTGGATTCTGTTGTGGTTTTCTTGCATTTATTTATCTATCTATATCTATTTATTTATTCACTTATGTGTTTATGCTGGGAGGGTGGATGTTCAGAATGCCACAGCACATTCATGTGTGGAAGCCATTGGGCAATTTTGTAGAGTCAGTTCTCTCATTCCATCATGTGACTCTCAAGGGTGAGACTCAGGTCGTCAAACTTCATAGCTAACACCACTGAGCAATCTCACCACTCCCAAACACTGCCAGTCTTTGTATACAGGCAGAGAAAAAGTATATAGAAACTTGAACTTCAGTCAGATTGCTAGAAAGAGAAACTAATAAAAATAATACATTTTTGTGCATGCTTTTTAGTGTCAATTGGTTTTTGTACATTGAGGGCAGCTCATTACTATTTGTGTTTTGTTTACTGCTTAACTTATTAAATTCAAGGAGCTCAGAAACTAGATGTTTAAATTATTTTTAAATCACTTTTTTGACCATCTAAGCATTGGTTATCAATTTGATGAATTGAATTTCCTAAAAGCTATAAACTGTAATTACAAATTTAATGTGGCTTTTTGGAAACAAGTCAAATGGCTTGAGTAGCATATTAAGTCTACACAAATACAGCAATTAACAATATTTCATATAGTTCCTTTTTAGCCTTTTTAAAAAAATTTTATTTTAATTTTCATTAATTACACTTTATTCACTTTGTATCCCCCCATAAACCCTCCCTCTTCCCCTCCTAATCCCACCTTCCGTTCCCCTTCTCCATGCATGCCCCTCTCCAAGTCCACTGATAGGGCAGGTCCTCCTCTCCTTCCTTCTGATCTTAGTCTATCAGATCACATCAGGAGTGGCTGCATTGTCTTCTTCTGTGGCCTGGTAAGGCTGCTTCCCCCTCAGGGGGAGGTAATTAAAGAGCAGGCCAATCAGTTCATGTCAGAGACAGTCCCTGTTCCCATTACTATGGAACCCACTTGGAAACTGAGCTGCCGTGGGCTACATCTGTGCAGGGGTTCTAGGTTATCTCCATGCATGGTAGTTGGTTGGAGTATGAGTCTCTGGAAAGACCCCTGACTTTTTAGCCTTTTATAAAGTATAAACACAGTGGAATTAATTTATCCATGCTCTTTATCCTTGCCATTGTACTTTTGCTTCTTTGTTTAATGTTATATTTGTTTTCTTTTGATGTCTTTTCAGGATTTTACTACTTTTGAATTTTATTAACTCTACCCAGCTACCTAGAAAACACAACTCAGACTTGCCAAGGTAAAAGAATAAAAGTGGTTATTGGGACTCACAGATACTGAACTAAGTGGTGGGTTGGGAGCCTTTTAATAACAGCATTTCACTTGCCATCTCTTGGAGCTCCTTCTTTGTGACTTTTTTGTTTGTTTATTTGTTGTTTTGAGACAGTGTTTCTCCATGTAACAAGAGCCCTGGCTATCCTGGGCTCACTTTGTAGAGCAGGCTGACTTCAAACTTAAAATGATCCATCTGACTCTGCCTCCGGAGTGCTGGGATCAAAGGTGTGTGCGAACACACCCAGCCTTTGTAACTTGTTTATATAAATACTGAAACATCCTTTAGTTTTTGAATATTTAATAATTCTCCATTATCCTGACCTTCCTACTATGTACCTAGTCTTTTAGCACTGTTCAGATTTATATATTCATTATTTTCATTTCATTATGATTTGCACAATTTTGAGGATAAGGAATTGGATCTTTTTTATTATTCTCTCTAAAAAAGTTTTCATATATTGGACTTTTTCTACCTGATTACTATGTGTGTCCATCAATGTTTATCATTCTTACAAGTTCTTAGTTATGTGGGTGGCACTTTATGCATAAATTAGAAACAAGTATGTGATTTGTGGTGCATGATGAATAATGACTCTTCTGTATTAATTGGAAAGAGGTACCTCCTGCAGATTGATACAGCTTCAGAACTGGGGCACCTGCTTTTGAAAACAGAGTAGACAGATTTTCATGTTTTGTTCTTGGGGATCTTTGAACTTTACCAATCTATGTAATCATGCATAACAGTCATTAGTATGGTACTTGTTTTTCTGAAATAATTTCTTATTAACTCATTGCTTTTCTTGTGTTTTTTTTTCCCTGCTTGGCCACAGATAGAAACAAATTGCATATTCTTAAGATAAGCATTCATGCATTTTGCTATATAAAAATAGCAAACCTTAAATACCCTGAATTATTTATTCTTTTCAGAAGTTTTAGAAGTCATTCACACAGCCTTTTACTGACCCAAATAGTTTCAATTAATTGCAATGTGTATGGTGAAAAGTTAAATTTTATTTATGGAAGGCCCTTGAAGGTGGTTTTTCATTCTTTAAATGCTGACATGATTGAAACAAATTCAAGAGCTTTGTAACAACATAAGGAATTACTTGGATTTTTTTTCATTACCTAAATTATATCAGCTAACTCCTTTAACAGTCCTTTGGGTGAGAAGCAATATCAGGACACAGGGGTGCTTTTGAATATTAAAGGAGCTGGGTGTGATGGCTCATGCTATTAATCCCAGAAGAGGCAAGCTAGTGAGAGGCTCAGTGAATAAAAGTCACTTGGTGCCAAGCCTGATGAACTGAGTTTGAGTGGGAGAGAACTCCTTTGAATTGTCTTCTGACTTCCATTCTCTCTCACACACACACAACACACACACACACACACACACACACACACACACACACACAGCTGTGCAGGCCTGAAAGTGAATACACAGTGATGAACTTGTTTTACTAAACACAATTGGACTCTGTTCTATAAAGATGAAAGAGACATTCTATAACAGTAGAGCCTGCCTTTAAGGAGTAATGGACTGCTGAAATCTCAAGTGTTGCCAGGATGCCTGGTATTGGCACAATCTCAATATTTCAGGTTCTATCTCTTGCTTTCTCCAGGCCAATACCCCACTGTGAAAGGGATCTATCTATGTGGCAGTGAAAGCAGCATTTCTTCAGTTTTAAAAGATGAGTAGGAGTCTAGGAAGACAATTCAGTGGATAAAGGTGTTTTCTGTGCCAACTTCATGACTTGAGTTATATCCCTGAAATGCATGTAAGGGTGGAAGGAGATAATCAACTCCACAAAGTTTTTCTCTGACTTCTGCAGGCACACTATGGAATACATGCCCCATTCCCATCTCTCTGTCTCTGTCTCTGTCTCTGTCTGTGTGTGTGTGTGTAACACACACACATGCACAATAAAAATTTAAATGTAGGGGGCTGGAGAGATAGCTCAGTGATTAAGAGCATTGTCTCTTCTTCCCAAGGACCCGGGTTCAATTCTCAGCACCCACATGGCAGCTCACAACTGTCTGTAACCCTAACTGTCTGACACCTTCACACTAATACAAATAAAATTTAAATGTAAAAAGATGAATAGGTATTAGCTAAACCAAGATACTTGGGTGTAGGCCATTTTAGGCAGATTTTTTTGTCTGTTTTTTTTTTTGTTTTGTTTTTCAAGACAGGGTTTCTCTGTGTAGCCTTGACTGTCCTGGGCACACTTTGTACACCAGTCTGGCCTCAAACTCACAGAGAGCCGCCTGCCTCTGCCTCCTCTCTCAGTGCTGGGGTTACAGGCGTGCACGACTTCTCCTGGCTTAGGCAGAAGTTCTTAATCAAAGGAACATAGGAAAAAGATAGACAGAGTATATAGTGAAAATCCTAGCAGGTCTGTATTTCTGACATATGAATTATAAATAAATGATACTAAAATGATAACTTCTTGTATTATGATATAGAAACTGTACAAATTAAAAGAGTTAGTAAAGGCATATGCTCTGTATAGCTTCGAAAGTCAGCTTTACCTTCATCTAGCTGTGTGATTTACTTTTATAATTTTTACTACATAAGGTGAGCATGATTGTTTATTTCATAGAGTAATTTTTGGCATAGAGTTAAATCATGCAACATACTTAGAGAATTCAATAAATATTCATACAATCATTATTAATTATTATAGTGATGCAATAAAAAGTCATTCTAGAAGCTTGTATGAACAATATTTTTGAACAAATTAGTACAAGAAAATGGGAACACAGAGAATCAGTGTCCTTCAGTAGTTTTCATGGGCATTTGTTGGAATCTTTGTGATGTAGCCCTCTATAATGGTTTTAGTGAAATCATATACTTTATGGGTGTTTTTTGAAACTGGCCAAATGGCACCTTCCTATTTGTTCTTGCAAATTTCTATAACATGACCCTATATGAAAGTTAAGTTCTCACATAATATAGCAAACCTTTGGTGGCGCAGTTTTTAGAGTATAACTTAGAAGCCATAGCCTAAGAAGATAAGCTGGAGAAGTAGAAGCCAGCTGAGTCTCAGAAAAGGATTGAAAAATTGCATGGGTGTGAGTCTAATAGGTGCAGTCTTCTCACAGGTACAGTTATATTCTACAACTCAGGTTTGTGCCTACTTTATCTAGCATATTGAATGAAATCAGCAGACCATGGGTATTGATAAAGGCTATGAAAAGGCTATAGATCTAGCTGTCCTATACTTACTTAGTTATATAGTTCCAAAGACTGTAAATGTCAGTTCCAAGATCTGTGATATCGAGTTAATGATATGCACTATGTTACCTTACAGAGCTATCAAAACAACATTTGTGACCAACAGTGAGAAAAGACTTGGGGAAAAATCTGAAAGCAGCTTTTTCTGCTAAAATGATCTTCTTAGTTCCTCTTTGAGCTGTTCAGAAAGCTGAGCTTTCACAGAGCCAGACATCGGATCAGTGAAGTATCAGTGTCCTTGTGTCAGTACTTCCAGCAGGCTGACTGATAGAATGCACTGTAAAAGACACATTTTGCTTTAAATAGTGCCCCAACAAAAGCTTTTCAAAGGGCCCGAGAGACTTTTCTCTGTTTGGAAGTTTCCCTACAGCTATCTCTCCTGAAAAGATGAATGTTAACCTAAAAGATAGGGCCTTCTGGTACAGTCTTCATGGCCAAGTCCCAGGGATGCTGGATTGGGATATGGGAAATGAATGTTTCCTGCCTTGTACTACAGATCAGTGCACTTTCACTGAGCAGTGTCTTGCCAAATACAAAATCCAACTGATAAAACCACCAACACTGCCTCAGGAAAGGAAACCCAATTCTGACGAGGATGGTCCTCCCACTGACTCCAGCCTGTGGATGTGGGTGAATCCCAACATTGTGTGTCCTATCATCAGCAATGAGACTCCAAATCCCTGTCATAATGTTCCATCAAGTGCACCATTACCAAACACTAAGGAAGCTGCATGCTTAGGGACTCGGAAAGTGGCGGAGTCCCTGTCTGTTCTCCGTACTGAGCGTATTAACCCACAAGAGCTGTCCATTTTCTCCACTGACCCTGATACCATAGAAAAGGAGGCTGGGCAACTTGAATGTCCACCCTCTAGGAAACACTCTAAGAAGCACAAACAGGGTCATGGTGTCCTGGACATGGTGTTCTGGCCACGCCCTCCTCTCAATTACAGCCATCTGGTTGCTCTAGCATTAAAAAACAGCCCTTCCTGTGGCCTCAATGTGCAACAGATCTACAATTTTACTCGACAACATTTCCCCTACTTCCGGACAGCACCAGAAGGCTGGAAAAACACCATTCGCCACAACCTCTGCTCCTTGACCTGTTTTGAAAAGGTGCCAGTCCCCCGTGAAAAGGAGCTGGATGGAAAACCTCGCTCTTTCTTCTGGAAGCTCACTGAAGTGGGAAACCGCTTCTTTCAGGAGGACACCCGTGTTTTGGCTTATACTCGAAAGGAGAACATCAAACAATGCATGTGCCAACCAGAGCTGATAGACCTCCTCTTTCATTTTTAATAGTTTTCTTTTATGTGTGTGTGTGAGTGTGTGTGTGTGTGAGTGTGTGTGTGTGTGTGTGTGTGTGTGTGTGTGTGTGTTATGTGTAAGTATGTGTATGCATGCTTGAATGTGTGTGGACATATATGTGTACGTGTGCGGAGGCTAAGGTTGACATCAAGAATTCCCTTCCATTGCTCTTTCACCTTATTCTCTGAGGCAGGGTCTTTCAGTCAAACCCTAGAGCTTATAGATACTGTTAGTGTCACTAGACACCTATCTCTGCATTCCACGGCTGAGATAGTAGGCAGGTCCTCATACCCATCCAATTTGGTTCTGGGGATCTGAATGCAGGTCTCTTGCTTGCATGGCAAACATTTTAACTTCAGAGTCATCTCTCCAGCCTACTCTTATGCTTTGAAGTACAATTGCTCACTTTCTGGAACACTGACCTGCTTACTGTGCCGAACTAACCTGTACTCATCTGCAATCCTACTATGATTGGTGACAAGCCTCATCTTTACCCACTGTTAAGCAGTCAGAGGTGACTACAGAGGAAGCAGGGATTAAATACAGATGTATAATGAAGGAAAGTTATACAACAGCTGGTCCACACTTTACTTTGAGCATAAGCAGAAAGTCTTAGGAACAAGCAATCTAAGGATAGAAGAGAATGTTGTGTTTACTGGAACAAACTATGAAATATATATAAAGGACAAATACGAAATAAACCCAGATTATGGGCAACCTCCAGTGCCATCTGAAGGTAGATGTGTATAAAGAGAACTAGGCTTCGTGCTTAAAGTATGGAGACTCAAATATCCCATTACCATTCATCAATTTCATCTTCTTTTGGAATGACCTATTTTGTCCTCCAGAGTCTTGTTTTTTTCTCTCGTCCTAGACTTAAGAGCTTTGTTCTCTTGCTATCCAGTTCCAGTAGTAACAAATGCAAGCAGCTGTTATTTGTTTGACTATTGAAAGTCCTCAAATTGATTCTGTGTTAACTTTAAGTTTTTTTATGACAATGCATTTGTGATCGTTTGTGTTTTTTCATCAAATTTTGTTTGAGAAAATGTGAGGTCCATCTTAGATGTTAAATATAGAAAGCAAATACATATTTGTGAAACATAGATAATTTACGTGTGATAAAACAGAGGTGTGAAGTTGCCATGGAAGATACCTTTCCTGGAAACAGGAAAACATTAAAAATGAAGTGCCTTTTGAGCTAGTTGTGCAGGATAAATAGAAACATGCTGAACACATAAACTGGAGAAGAAACATAGTGGCAACAGTGTGAATAATATTAACCAGGTGTTTGGTGACTTCTAGGAGAACAGTTCCACTAGGGTCATGAGCCACTATAAGAAAGGTAACCAAACAGTTTTTACATTGTACTTACATGTTTAAGTTCTGTAAACAGAACTACAAGTTATAATTTGTGCAGTGCTAGAAAGCATAAACAAGATACCAACATAACAAAAGTTTTAGCCTTTGGCTTTCTAATTTCAAAATTTGTTTTTTGTAAACACTAAGTTCATGAAATTTAAATATAGTTTTTGCCTTTTGTGTTAATACATTTTTAAATGTATACCAATGTCTAGAAAATTTTGTTGCCAAGCATTCAACAAGAGTTTAAAAATGTCTGTACCATACAAAAGCAGCTAATTTAGTATGATTAAAATATGGAGACTTTTTCTTTTGATGGCTTACTACAGCAGATACAAAATTCTTTAGGTTTAATTACAAAGGCTGCATAATCAAACAAAATGATTTCCAAAAGTAATTGTAAATGTTACTTCTGTATTACAGTTACTTTGAAAATGCTGACAGAACACTCTGGAATTAATAAAATTTTCTACCTAATAGAGTTGATGTTTATTTCTTGGTTTTCTCAAAACTGACACCAAGTGAAATATACTTCTGTGAAACTCAGAAGACTATTCTTTTTTGCAGATAAATTTGATTACTAATGTATCCACTCTGTAGTTTTCAAAAATGGCATTCTTCATTCACACTCTGCACATTTCCTAACAAGGGAAACTGTTGTTTTCAGAACTTAACCATGTTTTGTGTGTGCAACCTTACATTTTTTTTTATTTTTCATTTCTGGAGTTCTGTTCTTCCTGCTCTGGTTTCAGGAATGAAGCAGTAAGTAGTCACAGCACTTCTTCACTCACCTCTGGTGATCCAGGTATCACTGAGTCTGTGTTACTTATTCAAGTTCTTTGAAGTTAAGCAATGGAAAAAAGATTCACCTTTCTCATAGGATTATATTCTTCTAAACAATTGTTATCTGTGCTTTCTTTTGTCTCAATTTAAGAACTACTTCTGTGTGTGTATGTGCACGTGAGGTCAAGCACACATGTGCCCATGTGCACATATGACCATGCATATGGATGGCCAAGGTTGATATTAGAAATCATCCTTAGTCACTCATTCACTGTATACATTGAGATATTGTTTCTTAGTCAAATACAGAGATCACAAACTTAGCCAGCCTTGCCTAACACATTACAATTACAGGCAGGTTGTTACACCCATCTAGCATTTTTTGTGCATTTCTGGGGATACGCACTCCGGGCTTTGCACTTTATCAGCAAGTGCTTTAACCACTTAGCAATCATTTCATCTCTGAGAACTGCCTTTCCTAAGAATCAGTTAAGTGATACATTTATACTAGTCATTTTATGCATAAAAGATTTATTTACTTTTATTATTTTTAATTATGTATATAGGGGGAGGACAGAGGAAGGGGGTGTGTGCATGAGTGCAGTGCCCTGGGAGGGCAGAGGCCTAGGATCCCTGGAACTGGAATTACAGGCAGTTGTGAGCTGCCATGTGGTTATTGAGAATTGAATTTAGGTCCTCTGGAAGTGCAGCATGTGTTCTTAACCACTGAGCCACCCTCCCCCAACCCATGCTTACCACACAAAAGAAGAGCTTTTGTCTTCATCATCTATAAAAACAGTATAAGGATTTCTGTTAAATTCTGTTAAATTTACCAAATCTCCACCTTTAATTTCTTTAGATCTCAATATTAGCAGGCAAAATGCAAACGGCCTGAAAAAGTATGATAGTAGAAAGTAAATTCTGAACCATTTCATAATAATTTTAAAATATTCAATCTATTAAAATGTGAGCTTCAGAATAGGTAAAACACGAATAATACAAACAAAACAAACAAATGTGGATAAGAATATCCTTCAGTTAGGAAATCCAGTGCATCCTACTATACACTGGATTCAATCCTTAGCCATCATAAAACTGGTGTGGTGGCACATGCCTATATTTTACTGAGTTGGAGGCAGAAAGATTAGAAGTTCAATCTCATCTTTCGCTATGTGGTGAGTTCAGGGTCATCCTGGAACACACAGCATTCTACCTGAAAAAGAAAAGTTTTAAAAATTATGCAACTGGGGCTAGGGAGATAGTTCATTCAATCAAGTATTTATCATGCAAGCAAGACAACAAGAGTTCAATTCCCAATACCCATCTTTTAAAAACAGTCATGCTTTCTTATTCTCCCAGCACTGAGGGGGTAGTAACAAGTAGATTCCTGGGGTGCTAGCCACTGAGCATCAGTTCCCAGGGAAAGACCCAATTTCACAAAGCAAGGTGGGAGTCTTCTGAGGAACAACAGCTGAGGTTGCCTTCTGGCCACACTCGTGCACACACATTTTTTTCCTCTTTCATTAAGAAAACATCACATGTTAACAACCATTTCAAAGGCAAAGTCAAACCTCAGCTTTATATGTATTAAAAAAAAACATAGAGGTTAATTGCAAAAGTGATTTTTCAACTAGGGATGAGATCACAATATAGCCAAACCTAAAGGGCATGTGTGTGTGCATTCCAATTACCTACAATTGACCAAGAGTTTCAAGGTAATTCAAAGACGATAAAACAATGCTTGATTTTTGACAATTGAAATGACATAATCAATAAAAAATTCCCATTGAAATACAAAATATCTCCTTAGTCTTCCCTCCACTTTAAAGCAAAAATACAAAAATACTTTGTTTTTGTTTTTTCAGGACAGGGTTTCTCTGTGTAGCTTTGGCTGTTCTAGACTCACTTTGTAGACCAGGCTGGCCTTGAACTCACAGATATATGCCTTCTGCCTTCTACCTCCTGCCTCCTCCTGCCTCTTCCTCCCTCCTCCTACCTCCTGCCTCCTGCCTCCTGCTTGCCCTGCTCCTGCCTCCTGCCTCCTGACTGTCCTGATCCTGCCACCTGCCTCTGCCTCTGTTTCTGTCTCCCTAAGTGCTAGGATTATAGGCATACAACAAAGTGCTGGGCTACAAAAATACTTTCAAAGAAAGATTATTCTTGCTCACAAAATCACAACAGTGATCTCATTAGATTCAGCCTAATAATTGTTGCTTTTCTAGAAATTTTTATGAGGACTCTTATGTGGAACTTTAAACATTTCTAGATGCTAGATAACAATCAATGACTCACTGTCAGATTTCAGATTTTACTTGTAATACTTACAAATTTGAGAAAATTCTCTTTTCAAAGTCTCCAAAATACTTTCAGTTGTCTGGGCCGAATTGGAATGACTTTATTTACATACTTGAAATTTGGGGGACCCTGTAAGAGTGTTGCCATTCTGGCTTTCTCAGAAGAGCTTTAGAAACATTGATCCCAGCAGGGCAACCTTGAGTCTTTAAAACTGTCTGGTCTTATCAAATTAAATGAGTTTAGTTCTCAAATGTAACATAGTAGTTGAAACCTTGACAACATAAGAATTGTCCAGTTCTATCAAAGTAACAATGTAGAGAGAGTCTCACAAGACTCTTATCCCATTACATAATCATATTCAGTAGGAGTTTCCAAATTCTGGAGGAGTCCGACAAAGAGACAACAAATTTAACTGTTTTAATTTTGTAAATCAAGATGGATGAATGAAAGTAGGCAGCACTGACTTTTTTCTTCTACAAAGAGAGCAAATTTCTATGGCTGCATTTCAAGATTAATGAGTGTGGGGAAAGCCAACAAGAGGGTGGTATAACTTT